GGGTCGGGGGGTGCGCGCGCACGCGGGGACTTACGGCGGGAAGGGGCCGCGCGGGTCCGCGCGTGTCCACGCGCGCACGCGGACAAGGACACGCGTTTTGGGTGCGACACGACACGTATGTGCACGTGTGCCCGCGGTGTGCACACACGCTGCAGCAAATGCAGCTGCTGCGCGCGTGCATCCCCATCGAACACAGCGCCAGGGCACGCACTGCCCTCGCACACGCGTGTGCACCCCGTCCGTGCACAGGGGTCCCTGGCTCCATGCACGGGTGGGAGTGTGCAGACAGGGATGCTCCTGTCCTCCTTCCCTGAGCGCATCCCGTCCCCAAAACCTGTCCCGGGTGGGGGCATGGGAGGGGGTGATGGGGACAGTGCTCCCTGCCCCCAGGCTGTGCTGTGGGAGGGGGCCGTGTGTGCCCTGCACTGGCCCCGAAAGGGTTAACGTCCCCCATTGGCCCCATCTGGGCTGCGAGTGGCCCCAAATGTGCAATGGGGGGGGTGTTGAGGTGGGGGGAGCCCCAGAAGGGCTGGGCTGTGGTCTGCACCCCTGGGACAGGGGGGCTGCTGGGTGCACAGAGCTGCATGTGCTCGTCCTCCCCACAGTGACCGTGGAGCCATGAGCGAGGGACCCCAAGGCCACCCACACTGGGACACACAAGGTCTTTGGATGCCACGAGATGCCCTCGTATGCCCCTGGGTGCAGGGGTCTCCCGGCCTCCCTGACACCCTTTGGGTCCCCTTGCAAGGAGGCAGCTGAGGGCAACTTTTGTGTCCCGTTTTTAAAACCAAAGGCCACTGAGAACCAAAAATGAGGCCAAACCCCTCCCTGCCAGGGTCAGGGAGGGCGAGTGAAAGCAGAAAAGTGAGAAGGCAGCTTGGGGGGGATGGACTGGGCCCAGCTGGGTGCAGGCAGGGTGACAAACCAAGCAGGGGTCTCTTGGGTGCCTGCAGGTGCTGTGTGCTGGTGGGGGCTGATGTCCCCCTCACACATGTCCTTCCTCCTCCCCAGCTTTCGGAGCAGGTTTTTGGCCCCACATGGCTACTCCCATATGGGGACCATGTGTCCCCAGGGACTCTGGATGGACACAGAGATGTCACCAGCTGACCACTGCAAGCATGGGGGACACGAGTGTCCCCACAATGGGGAGCCCTCCCATGGGGAGCCCCAAACTCAGGAGGGGACAGCAACTCTTCAGGATGCCAAGTCACCCCAGGGAAGTGAAGGAGGAAAAATAGAAGAAAAATGAAAAAAAAAATAAAAAGAAAAAGCGAAAGCGAGTAGCAGGTCGGCATCCGGCCTCCCCATGCGGCACCTGGCCCTGCAGCTGTGGTGGCACCGACGCCACTCGGAGCGGACTCGAACGAGATCCAGAGCTGCGGACGGGGCATCGAGGCCTGACGGGGGGACCAGGATGGCCCTGGGGAGCGCGCGGCTCCCGGCGCGGTGCTGCCGCCGGGCGCTGGGCTTGCTGCACCGTGGCCGGGGGGAGACGATTTTTTAATTATTATTTTTGCATCTGGGCGCCTGCAGGCAACAATAGTGGGTGCATTCCCGAAAGCTTGGGATGTGCCTTGGGATGCTCCCGTTTGTGGGTTTTTTTTTTTTTTTCCTCCATCCTCCGCTGCCGCAGTCCAGGAATGCTGCCTTCCTGGTGCTGGGGATGGGAGAGGGCACGAGAGGTGACACTGGGGACCTGCTGAGATATTGAGGGCTTGGAGGTTATGGGGGACTGGGGGGCTTGTGAGGGGGACAATCCTGCCCCCAGGGTTCCCAATGGGAGAATTTTGGGTGTAGAACTGTTGTGGGGGCCCATCCTGTCCCTCTTGCTGCACCGTTGTCCCTCACCCGGCACCTGCCCTTGGAGGG